ATTATATATATATATACACATGTAATTTGTATAATTATACATATATACATAAAGAACCCATCACTAACAAATAAAAATCATGTCATCTATGCAATCAGCTGATAGAAAATATTGAGAATTTGTGATTTTGAATCTGTTTCATTGGCATCAAATGACAGTTTTCCAAATCAGTACAAAAACAAGATTACCACTATAGAGACATAAGCAAGCTAGCTTTAAATTCACTTTAGAGTAGTCATAATGCAACATCAGGGAATCAGGAATTACCAGACCTACCCACAGTACCCACAGAACTGCTTTTTAAGTCTGAAGTACTACCATAGTTGTTTTAGGGCTACATCGCTATCAAAACCTTAGATTGTAATCACAAAAATGATATAGGTACGATTATAGAAGTTACAATCCCATGTTTGGAATGCCGCAAGAGGAATCCCATCCTATTTTACCAGGTTAGGCTGTACTCTGGCTGGGAGCAGCAAGACAAGAAGAAGCAAGCCTGAGATTTTCACATGGTGAAAACGTTGTTAACACAACAGCCTACTAAACCGAGTGGCTCACTGCTACACCAGGACAAAAAAGTGTTTCAAAAGAGATGTCTGAAATGAAAAGCAGGTAAAACTGAAAGATCGTTTCTTTCACTGCTCTGCAGACAAAAGTCACGTTTATAGAGGCATAAGGAAAAACCTCATAATGTCAGGCAAAAGGATGTGAACGGCTGTCTTGCGCTTTTCCCATCAAAGTTTCCTTTCTGCCCGTTCCTGGGAATAGCTACCTTCAAGACAAACCACCACTCTCCTTCAGCTGAAAGGCTCCCAAGTAAATTCTATTAGACATACACAACCACAGAAGCCTTTTAACTGTCTGTGCTCTTCCTTTAATGATCAAAGTCTTGAGACAAGAAACTGTGGTTCTTTCAATGAAATTTTTAAGAGCCTGTGGTTATTAGAGAGCACTTGATTTTTTTTTTTTCTTCTAAGCGAATGATAAAAACAACGACTTGTTAATAATTAGAGATCACAATGACATCTTGGAATTACTTCACAAAGAAAGGAAGTAAAAATTTCTGTCTACATGCATACGCAATAAAACAAGGAACTCAAGGTAAACAGGAGAAGAGTGCAGCCAGCTCATTTAGCCTATTTACAGAAACTGCAACATTCAGAAAGGGCTTTATTTTTAAGTCAATAGCTCTAAGGATGAAGTATTCAAAGGCTTAAAGAGACACTGTGAAAAAGATCAAAGGAATCAAAGGTAAGGGGTAATATTTCCAAGGGTATGATCTCACTTCAGAGCTACAGACAGACTGCAGATTGTGTGTTTCACTCCACTGATGACTGCTCAGCAGTTCAAAGTATCTAACCCACCAGTTTAATATTTCTGCACAAAGAGTGAAAAGCTAATAAGAGTATTTTGAGATTTATTAGGGTCATACTTTGCTGCTTTCCTAGGCTCAATAGACTTAATGTATTATGATATAATTCATGATAGATATTATCAACAATGTGAAGAAGAAACAGCATTAGTGCCAGTGGCAAGAAACTCTTTTCACTCTTCAGAAAGTCTACTGTCACAACAATAAATCAATAGATAACTTAATCTTGCCTAGAAAAATAGAAAATATGCAGAGGGAAAAAAAAAAGAAATTAGAACTAATGCCATAATTCTTGAAATGAGGATCAAAAAAGAAATGCCAAAAGAAAGAAGTTTAGGATTCCTACTAGTAAATGAAAAATGGGCCAAAGAAGAGGGGTTTTTAGCCTCTTCTTGACGCTTCTACACGGTACTAAGGGACGCTGTTTACAGATGGGTCTTTGTAGGTCACGTTGATGGTTGTTGGTCTTCTATGATCTCGAAGGTCTTTTCTAACCTAGATGTTCTGTGCCACTATGAAAATGTCTTGACAAGACAGAGGTCAGTTGTCCCAGCTGAACAGCAAAATTATTATGAAATCATCCCATTCTAGGGTTCACATTCTTGAGTTTAATGGAGGAAGAAAATAAATAGCTAGCATAGCTGTGGGCTAAAGTTACACTTCAAAAATTAAACATTGCTTGTTCCATTTTGAAAGTTTATTGGCTTTTAACTTGTCCACTTTCATGTCTGGAAAAGATTTTCAGTACAAGTCAATTTCCCAGCCTTACCAAGCAAGGGGGAAAAGAAACTACAGAAAAGCCAACACATCATCTATGGCTATTAGCATCACACATTTATCAGAATTTGGCTGGATATTTTCCTCTGGGACTCACGCAATATATATTGCCTTAGTACTGCAAATCAATTTCGAAAAAAATCATAGAAAAACAAGTATCAAGGGAAACACTAGTTCATTTCCTTCATTCAAGGCAGGATCAATTGATTCTACAAAATTTCTGACAGATAAGTCACTAAAATGATTTTAGAGAGATCTACAGATCTGTCACATCTTTCTCACAGCTTATGACAGAACTCTGTTATACCTATTAGAAAAAAAATCTTCTTACCATCTAATCTCAGTCTTTCCTTGCTACAATTTAAAAACCTTATTTCCTGTCCATATCAGACAGGCAGAGTAATGTATTCCCTTACTTTTTCCCTATCTTTAATGTATCCAAAGACTTACTGTGTCTCAACTCAGTCTTCTCTTCCCTAATCTATACACTTAATTCATAGTAACTTCTGTCCTATTTTTATCTCCCTGATAATTTTAAAATGTCTTCTGTTGGCCCTGGCCTCCCTGAAGTGTACTACCCTAAAGAGAAGGGACTAGATCATTTCTCATGCTCCTACAAGCAATTTCTGGGTAATGACAAGAAAGGGGAAAAAAACAAAGATGGTATTAAGATCAGAATTTTTTAGAAGAAGAAATCAGGAGAACTCCAGAGAGAAGCTTTTTTTGTTTCTGAGAGAATCAGCAATTTTTTTTTTAAAGCACATGACCTATTTAAATACACCGCTCTGACTCCACAGGCATCCCTTGGAGGGGGGAGAATAAAATAAAATGGCACAGGCACAGCGAAGCATCTGGCAAGTTCCTGGACTGTGTTAAGGACAAAAATCCTTAAATAGAAGATTTAAAAAGCTGTTAGGAAGGAAGGCAGCAGTAGGTTTGATTCAAATCAGTGGGAAAGATGGAGCATTCATGAAGGAATGATTCTTTAATTTTAGGAAAATAAGGAAGAACGCAAAATTAAGAAAATGAGCTTCAAAAAAAATTAAACTTCAGGCAACTCAGAGAACTGATGTGAGAGATCTCTAGCAAAACCCTTTTCATCCATGAGGCAAAAGGACATCTGTAAGTGCAAAAGTCAACAGGACTGGTTGCTCTTCAGTGAAGAGAGAGTGGCACTATACATTCATCCCTGAAACAGAGGAGCATCAGCGTCTTTTCTTTTTTGGCACATAATTAGAAAGATGTTATGCTTAAATACCTAAAAAAAGATAATACCAAACAGAAAAAAATGGATTAAATAACAAAAATGTTAGATGTTGTTAAGTCTGTTTAAATTTACCATAAGGTATTGAGAGCTGACTGGATCAGCCTCAGAATTATTAATAGTTATTTTTGAGAACTTCTAAGAGCAGCAGTGATTCCAAAAGACTGGAAAACATTCAGTAACTAGCTTTAAAAATTGGAAAAAGGATGGGGCAGGGAACTAGAGACAACAATTTAAACTCAGTTCTCCCAAATATGGAATAAAAATAATCTGGAAGCATTCATGAGATAAGGAATTGAGTAATACATATATCTGTCAAGAAAAAAATTACTTCAAATCTGTGAGAAATATCCTTTCTGACACAGTACCAGACTCTGTAGAGAGAGAAACAGAGAGGGTATCATTTACCTCAAACCCAGTAAGCTTTTTGACATTGTTTCTCATGGGATTTCCATAAGCAAAGGAGAAAAAAGATAGCGCTACAAAAAGAAACAAGTTCCAATACACAAGCAATGCTAAATTTGGAAGGAATGCAAGCATACTAAATGCAAGACTACACAATAAAACAATCTTCATAAATTTGAGAAAAACATATGCAAAAAACTTGAAAACAATTTATTAAAACAAAGAGGGAATTCTAAACCTATACAGTAACATCAAAAATACAAGACAGACAATCATCAGCAGGGTGAACTGCAGAAGAGAACACTGAGGTTAGAGCTGATCACAGAATCATCAGGGATGGAAAAGACCTCCAAGATCATCTAGTTCAACTGTCCATCTACCATCAGTATTTCCCTACTAAACTATGTCCCTTAGTACCAAATCTAAATGCTTTCCTGAACACCTCCAGAAATGGTGAACTCAACCACCTCCTTGGGCAGCCTGTTCTAGCACCTGACCACTCTTTCAAGAAGAAATTTTTTCTGATATCCAACCTGAATCTCCCCTGGCACAACTTGAGGCCATTCCCTCTCATCTTATTGCTAGTTACACAGGAGAAGAGGCCAATTCCCACCTTGCCACAACCTCCCTTCAGGTAGTTATAGAGAGCTATATGATCTCCCCTGAGCCTCCTCTCTTCTCCAGACTGAATAATCCCAGTTCCCTCAGCTACTCATTATAAGACTTGTGCTCCAGTTTCCCCAGCAGCTTTGTCGCCCTTCTCTCATTGTGCTCAAAGGCCTCAATATCTTTCTTGTAGCGAAGGGCCCAAGACTGAACACAGTACTCAAGAGCCTCAACTGGCCCAAGCACAGAGGGATGATCACCTCCCTGCTTCTGCTGGCAACACTACTTCTGATAAAAGCCAGAATGCCACTGGCCTTCTTGGCTACCCGGGCACACTGCGTTGAGTTGAGCATCAACCAACATCCCGACATCCATTTTCTCTATACATTCTTCCAGCCACTCTGCTCCAAACCTGTAGCATTGCCTGAGATTGTTGTGATCAGAGTGCAGGACCTGCCACTTGGTCTTGTTGAACTTCATCCCACTGGCCTCAGCCCAGCTATCCAGCCTGTCCAGATCCCTCTAAAGGGCCTTCACTCCCTCAAGCAGATCCCCAGCTGGGTGTCATCTGCAAACTTTCTGAGGGTGCACTCGATCCCCTCATACAAGCCATCAATAGAAATAATGGACAGGCTTCAATATTGACCTCTGGGGAACACAACTCATGACTGGTCACCAGCTGGATTTTATTCCATTCACCACCACTCTGTGGGCTTGGTGATCCAGCTAGCTCTTTACCCAACAAAGCATGTATCTGTCCAAGCCATGGGCTGCCAGCTTCTTCAGGAGAATACCATGGGAGATAGAGTCAAAGGCTTTGCTGAGGTCAAGGTAGACTACATCAACAGCCTTTCCCTCATCCACCAGGCAGGTCACTTGATCATAGGAAAGAGATTAGGTTGGTCAAAAAGGACCTGTCTGTCTATCATGAACTCATGCTGGCTGGGCCTGATCTCCCAGTTTTTCCACACATGCCATGTGATCTCACTCAAGACAATCTGAACCATAACCTTCCCTGGCATCGAGGTCAGGCTGACAGTCCTGCAGTTTCCCAGATCCTCCCTACAACCCTTCTTATAGATCAGAGTCACGCTGGCAAGCCTCCAAACCCCTGGGACCTCAGCATAACAAAGTGCAAGGTTGTGCAGTTGGGTGAGAGTAACCCCAGATATGTATACAGACTGGGAAAATAACTTGAGAGTAACCCTGCAGAGAAGGACCTGGGGGTCCTGGTGGATGAAAAATTGAACGTGAGCCAGAAGTGTGTTCTTGTAGCTCAGAAAACCTGGGATCCATCAGAACAGGGGTGGCCAGCAGGGATAGGAAGGTGATCGTCCCTCTCTTCTCTGCCCTGTTGATGCCCCATCTGGAGTATCGCATCAAGGTCTGGGGGCCCCAATACAGGAAAGATGTGGAGCTGTTGGAGAGTGTTCAGAGGAGGGGCTGAGATGAGCAGGGGGTTGGAGCACCTCCCCTACAAAAGACAGGCTGAGGGAGATGGGCTTGTTCAGCCTGGAAAAGAGAAGGCTGCGAGGAGACCTCATTGCAGACTTCCAGTATTTCAAAGAGAATTATAAAAAGGAGAGGAATAAACTTTTTACTCAGGTAGACAGCGATACGTCAAGGGGAAATGATTTTAAGCTCAAGGAGGGAAGGTTTAGATTGGATGTCAGGGAGAAGTTCTTCACAGAGAGAGTGGTGAGGTGCTGGAACAGGCTGCCCAGAGAGGCTGTGGATGCTTCGTCCCTGGTGGCGTTCAAGGCCAGGTTGGATGGGGCCCTGGGCAACGTGGTCTAGCACAAAATCTGGAGGTTGGTGGCAAGGGATTGGAACTTGATGATCCTTGCAGTCCCCCTTTCAACCCAAGCCATTCTGTGATTCTATGATCCTTGCTCACCTCTCCCTCAAGTTGCATAGCCTCAAACCTATTATGGAGGAATACCTAGGGAAGAGAGGTAGATAGGGAAGGAGTCTCCATGCAATGCCAAACTGGGACCTGTTTCCACTCCTCATCCTTTAGGCTCCTTCTCTCTGCCCTACAGTGACAGGGCAGGGGCTCCATCACTGGGATGTATCACCCTAGTGCCTTTCTTGCAGATGTGGAAAGGAGTTACTCTACCAGTCTATCTCTTGCTCACACTTCCTGATGCTCCTTAACCTCTCCCCCTCCTTCTTGAGCTCTGCCATCACACTGAGCAGATCTTCCACCTGCTCACACTTCACACAGGTGGTATCGCTGCTGCCCTTCACCAGTAGCAAAAGGCTCATGCACTCCCTGCAGATGGAGATCTGAACAGCCACATTTTTGGACAGGAACTCCAGGTCACAACACTCTTTTTGGCATGAGCTCTCTGCCTAGTGAAAACCATGGCTAGATTTGTTGTCTGGAGGCAACCAATAGGTGAGCATATATTCATAAATATTCTCACTCCCCCCCACTTCGCCCCAAGAACACCATGTATTTCTACATCCCCAAAAGGTTTACCGTACAAGTTTTTAATACTTCTAGGTAGCAAAAGAACTGCCTGCCAGCTGATCATTTGGCAACTGACCATCACAGCAGGAAGGAAGATATTTAAAGAAACAAAACTGAACCATACATCCCCCAAGACATGTGAACCTAGTTAAGTGTATGACCTCTCACATTACATTAGTAGCTTTTGATTTTAATTCCTAACTTATATCTGCTTTGCAACTTTGAAATTTTCCTCCTATTGTATTTAAAAATTTCAGTAGGGAAATGTAAATGTAGATCTTGGATGTCTTTATTGCAAACAAACAAAAGAAAAGCCTGAAGAGTCTGATAGTGTATTTTTAAAGATTACATGTAATGACTACAATGAAATTGCTGAAATTCATATGTTATTCATTCAGCTTTACTATCACAGCAAAAAGCTTTAGATTAATTACTGCTGCAATATATTTGAAGAATGACTAAGCCAACTAATCTCATTCATCTATAAATGGAACAGCAGAAACAAGAATTTTTGAAGAACTTCATTTAGGATTGCCAAGGTTCTACTGACAAAGATAATCAGTATAAAGGAATTAGCACAGTATATTAATGTAGTAACATACTGCTGGCATAAGTCCAGACTTGGAAAAATACACAAATCATTACAGAATAAAATGTGCTAGCTCCATTCTAAGGCTTATGACTACATGACTGCATATCATAAAATCTACATTCTTCAGTCGTCTTAGCTGGCTGCAGCTTAAAGACCGAGAAGGATCAACTTCAGTAATAACAAAGGTACCACACTGGTAGAAATATACTTTATCAAGCTCTGCAGTTTCTTTCAGTAAGTGGGAGACTTTAGACTTAAGTAAAATTTTGCTTTCACAGTCCTAAGTGCAAAGGCCCAATGAACAAAATATGTGTATGTCCTTCTGATAGGCATCCAGACAACTTTGCAAGTTTGTGCTTAACTAATATTGTAATGTTACAGAAACACAACTCTTGAATAAGATCAGAAGCTAAATGAGAAACTAAGCACTTTTAAAATTAAAAATAAAGAATCAATATCTTTCTTTATTAAACTTGCACAATTTAGATTTTTTACACTAAACAATGCAGAATGACCTAGCATGCAACTTCACACCATTTTTCACAATTGAATAAAGAATGTTCATTTGTATTCTTTTTCCCTTATCTACATACTCGTTGCCACATATAGCATCCTGCAATAAACTGCATATTCACATACACCAGCATATACCATGAATAAAAATCAGGCCAGTATGAACTTCAAATTCCTTCCTGTTTGCCTACAATCCTCAGTAATTAAAATACTTAGGTAATGAAAGAGAAGCTCTGGTTTTGATGCTCTTTAAAGGAATCTTTATCCTATTATTTATTCGGCAGCAATTCTACATTTTCTATATTTAAAACATATAAAAAATGCTGCCTTCACTACCTCCCATAGGTTTTGCATACAAAATTTTATTTACGCACTGTCTAGGGAAACAAGAATTCTTAAAATCACAAAGAAATACTATTATCAGGCATGCAAGCTGCTCCCATACAGTTGTCTCGTATCACAGGAAGTAAGAAGAAAGCAATCTATTCACTGCTGTGAAAAACAGTATCTTAATAAAAACAGATTTTTCTTTTTTTTTCAGTATGCAAATCTTTGCAGTATAACACATGTCTGGACATTCATTTTCAAAAGCTTTCATTCCCTTGTTTCCTTGGTATTGCCAAATATACTTCAAGAAACTTCTTGGCAAGAACTAATGCATTTCATATCTGTAAAAAGGGGGAAAATCAACTTGTACACCATCTTCTTTGCACTTTCACCAACAAACAGACATTATAAGCGTGTTATGATGATACTAAGAAAGCAGTTTGTAGTTATGCTCTGCAAATGACCACTCTGAGCATTCTGCTTCTTAGGAACAATAACAAAATTCAGTAAAAATATATCCCATTGTTAAGCCCAGTTCAAAAAACAAAAATTCAGAAGTAATGGACATAATGCTTTACTACGACTCTACAAAGCCTTTGAAGTTCTCTTTCCCTACATTTTAGGTACCATAATAAAATAATATAATTAAAATAAAAGCAAATGTCTCCTTTTGCTTTGAGACAGCAACATGTAATGATTAAAAATTATTTATTAGAACAGTGAAATTTTACTGTATCATTTGGAGGACAGGAAACTGCATCTTGTGGAAGACCATCACCAAGCAGTTTTTCTATATTTTATTTCTTGCCCATGTTTCCACTTGTGGGTCACTAGAAGATCTAGATCACTTTTGAGGAAAAGGAAACAGTATGCTCATCTGAAGCAAACCATAGTTATCTGATTCAAAACGTAATGGAGGCAATGGAAGGCCACTCTAGAGTTCCACAGGCTTTGGATAACCCACCTAACCTCTAACAGCTTAATGGTGCTAAGCCTGGGGCTTTAAGCAAAAGTAAACAGCACCACTGCTCTTTCTGATCAGATCCCACTGTCTTTCTGAAGAAGCCATTAGACTGGAGCCGGCCTATAGAGGCCATTAGACAGGTACACAGTTAAGCCAGCCACTTACCATTTTAAAAGCTTTGGACTAACTAAAAAACAAAACCCATCAGCTGTATTTCCCACCTTGGTACTGGAAATTAATTCAGCCATTAACAAACACATTGTGTTTTGTGAACCATTCCTAGACAGTTTTCGCAGAGACAGTAAAAATACAGAACAAATAAACACTGACCTTGTTTCTTTTAGCCCTTCTTTCTGAATGACTTCCAGTATTTGTTTTGCGGTCATTGGTGAGTTGGGATACTTTTCCAATGCCTGAAAATAAATAATAAATGTATAAGTGACATGACAGCTGTCCTGTGGATCTGTAAGGTTATAAACCATGCAGTTCATATACAGTCATTTGCGAAAGGCAGAGAGCGCTAGTCTTCAGATCGGAGTCCTTTGTCTGCTGGAAGGCCAGATATAATCCAAGAAACTGCAGCAAGACTCAGAGTTACTTGCTGCTTGTGTGCTTCATCTGCTATATCGCCTGGGAAAAATTCTTACCAGGTTCCATATGAAGAGTTGAAATACACAACTATTTTGATTGCAAAGCAACAGAATTTCTTTCAAGGAGAAGGGAAAATAAAACAAAAAGCGAGTAACAACAGGGCATGCTCTCCTCCCCCTCTTTTTTTTTTTTTTTAATTACTTCAGAAGTATCTGAGGCCACTTGAATATTTGACACTTAGGTTTTATTGTCACCTCAGAAACAAGAAAAGAGAAGTGACTCAGCTAGGCTAAAATGTTCTTTGTTTCTAAAAACAGTGAAAAATGAAGTAGTCAGAACAGTCACAGCACACAAGATGCTACATGACAGAGAGCAATGTATTTTTCCAGTTCAACTCAGTTTTCCACTCCTTTGCCTTTTCCAATCAAGCCCGAAGTAACTCATTCCTCTTTTCACATACACTCATTTTGTACAGAATTTTCTGGTTCCCCACTTCCTTTTGTTCCGATCATTTTTAAGCTGTTAAACAAACAGCCACTCTTCTGCTCAGGTGAAGTGCCAGACTGACAGCCCTGAAAAGGAAACTTTTCAATCAGCAGTAAAAGGTGTGGCACAGGCAACAGCAACACAAGCTTCCCAGAGCATCTCACCAACGTTATCTCAGCCAGATCCTGCATTTCCACCATGGGTAAACAAGACACCAGTTCAGTTTCTAGTCTTGCCTGATCCTGAGCTTCTCTCTAGTAGTTACCAAAGAAAAGCAATTGTGCAAGTTGCTACTACTGTGTGGATACCTGCCCACTAGAAACTGGAGCCACCAGCAAATCATATCACACTTGTCAGCAATCTGTGAAGGGAGCCAACCAGGGCTATAATTCAAACAGCTCATACAAAGCCAAAGCCTCTCTGCTCACTACCAATTGACCAGCACTGCCCACTTCCATCATTTTATAATTCTAGCCTGCTGCCTGTTCTTCCCTTTCTCATCCAAAACACAGTTTACCAAATCCTTTGGTTCTTTTCTTGCAGATGAGCTTCTTATCCTTTAACTTCCAGCTCCACAAAGAAAAATGCAGAAGTGAGGGCTGCACTAGAAATGGTCTGGGAGCTGAACTGAGCTTATCTCGTGTACATCAATAGGCAAGATTCAAAAGGGACCTGTCAGGAAAGGAAAACCGAAAGGTGATTTGAAAGGAGAAAGAAAAGTGGATAGGAAAGAGTATGACAATGAGCAAGTACAGAAAGAACTGTGAAGAGAAAAGGGCCACTGCACAGCAGTGCAAGAGAAATGGTATTACATATTATGGACAGAACGACAAAACATATGACACTGAAGATTAAGATGAAGATGAGAATTGATTTACATATAGGAAAAAATTGAAAGTTTGACCTTCGAAAAGACAACAAAGGGACAAAGTCAAATGAGAATACACCAAAACACAGGGAAAAGAAGGGAACAGAACTGAACTGGGAACATTCCAGAAGGCAAACTGGAAAGAACAGAAGAGGAAAACTACACTGTACTGGACACAGCTATGAAGGAAACTGTTTGCACTTGAAAGCGGGGTTACTCACTGTGGAGGATTCCCTGTTTCTCTTCCTGAGTACAGGCCCCTCAGCACACCTGGGCAGCTCCTCCCTGCAAGTGAGAAAATTTGGGTAGCCCTGTCCCCTTCTCTACAACATCACATCCTACTCTGTAGAGTCAGTCAATGAGCCAAGTGTTACCACGTGTGTTTGAGTAATGGGAAGGAAACAATAAGAGTACGCAAACATCAGCAGTCCCCCATTCTGGACAATGGAGAAGGGAGAGCAGTTTGTGCTGAGGAAGCTGCACTGAACTGGTTGTGGAAACAATGGCCAGACAGAGGGATATGGACGATCATCTTCACTGAACAACAATGAAACCAACAAGCAGGATGCATAACACTACTACAGAAAGTTTAACCAAACCCACAGGGCAGATTTCAAATACCACAGTATGAAGAGAACACATTCAGGGTATAATGACAAACTGAGACGCGGAGTATGTCAGACAGGCTGACCGTGCCGGAGCAAACAATTGCCCATTGTGTGGACTTATTTTACTGCTGGACATGTTGCCTGGGCTGCAGTTCATACACCCTATGAATTTAATTCTCTTCATCTAACCCTTTAAACAGAGGCCTGTTATTTAAAGAACTCTTCGTATCCTAACTGAAAAGCATAAATTCTCCAATTCAGACACTACTTAATTTGAAAACCATTTCTCAGGCACTTGATTAAGTTTTCTTTATCAGAACAAAGATTAATTTAATAAAACCTTAACTAGGATGCCTCTTTCTACCTCCTCCATCTTGTACTCTCCACTTGTAACTTTTAGTCTAACTATTTATCACAGTAAAAAAAAAAAAAGAATTACTTAAAAAACCATTTTAATGACAATCCCAATATTTTCTTCCCCCTAGTTATGGAAAATAGCGCTGGAGAATTATTTAAGAGTCTGTGAGCTAATGAATACACTGAACCGATAATTGCACGAGTGTCTCTTGCTTCCACACCTTACCATTAACATTACTAAAAGCCCACAATCCCTTTTGCATTTCTAGACTTTTAAAAATAATATCAGAAATTCAAATTGAATTACTGAATGTCCCCTAAGGCAAATAAAATCCTAAAATGCCATAGCATACTTGAGTCATAGACTGCTGGGTCAGACAAACTAATGCACATCGGAGGAGGAAGCCTTTATCTGTTTCAAGTATCTTTCTCCTTCCTCCCACTCCATCCACCAACACTCATACAGTGTATGGGCAGTGACTAATAATGCTGGAATTAAAATAAGCCAAAGGACTATCAGAAAACCATGATTGTTTTGATGTGATTTGCTGCAAAGGACAGTGGTGAAAGAATGGTTTGCACTGACTGCAACCTCTATCACCGAGGATCAAATATGCTCTATTTATTCCTGCCATTCAACTACAGCCTTAAAAAGGGACAGCCACTACATTACTGGGTCAAATTATTTGATACCCATCAGGATAGCCTAGAAGAGCACAGAAGGAGACATTGCACTGAATACATTCTTGGTGTCCATTCCAACTCTGGTTAATACCTCAAAGAGAAGGCAACTACAAAGCACTAGCAGAAGAAATCAAACCTCCCAGCAAATGGTAGCAGCCTGACAAATCGTTTCACCCTCACGTACCAATGCACAACTTGAACAATATTAAACAACTACATGAATGCCATGAATGCACGCGTTCCCGGTTCTAGCTGAAAAGCCTTGTCAGTTACATATTACGAGAAGAAATCCAAATTCCCTTCCTCAGCAGGGCATCTATCTTTTGTATGTCTACGTTCAAAAAAAAACTGTAGAAAAGGCACTTTCCAATGACCTGGTAACAAGAGGACTCTGAAGCAGACTCAAAATTCTGAGCTGCTAACCTATGAAACGGACAAAGTGGCTAATTTAATTTATATGTACAGCTGCTTGAATTAGATCTGCTCAACCATCTGCAACTCAGCCACTAGAGGGAACACAAGTAGAAGAACAGCATGAAGAAAGGAAAACTAGAAAGTAAAGCTTGCCACTCACAAACATTGTCCTGCAAAAAGAAAGAAGCTTTGCCAGAGAAACAGCCAATTACTCCTGCATCTAGGAGTTATGATGTTGACAGAAAATGATGCTTCTAAAGACAAACCTAGTGTGGACTGAAACAGTGCTGTGGTCCAAAAGCAGCAGCTTGGTCCAGTGCTCTTGGTGATACTGATTGTTGAGTCCAATAAGTGAGACAGAGTCATGCCTTTCTCTGCAAGCTGCTCACAGGGATCTGAAGGTCAGACTGCTGACAAAACTCAGAATCATTTTATCACATCTCCTTAGTGTCTAACTATATGCTGAGCCACTACACACAAACTGGAGCAGTTCTCTTTAGAACGTTATTTAAATAATTCAGGAGGAGAAAAAGGAATATTACAGTTATTGCCAGAGCTCCCACTCAGCAGCTAAAATACAAGTAAGGCTAAACTGCACATCAGACAATTTTTACTGCCCAAAAAGAGAAGGGTAAATAGAAGAACAGAAAAATATCTTTCTCATAGGCAGAATATGCATCATCTTTTCTAGACACCCATTCCTAAATTAATAAATTGAAAGATAGAGTTCCAAACAGGGTACAAGAAAAGCATCCTGGAATAAATCCAGCATTGTCTTTTTCAGCTGCTTGTGTGAGGTTAACAGGAGGACTGATTTTATTGTGGGAAATGCCCCACTCAAATCTTTTGTATTCATTTTTGATTAACGGCTGTAGTCATTGGGGAATTTTGGGCAGCCTGGTAAAAGTTCAAAGCCCTTTGTGCGAAGATGGGTAAATGGGTAGGAGAGGAGAGGGTATGGATAGGATGTAGAGCTGTAGAAGAAAGGAACTGGATAGAGATGGATGAGGAAAAGAAAACTGAAAGACTGAGAGGAGAAAGGGTATACAAGATGTGAAGGGGAAAGAGGGAATAACAAGAGAAGATACACTACAAGCTATTTTAACAGTTCTCAAATAGAGGTTCACAGAGCTCTTGCTGATAGTGATTAAGAGAAAGGTAAAGGGTAATTTCCAAGTACTAAAATATTAAAAGAAGCTGAAATGGGAGTAATAACTCTTCTCATAGGCCTTTTGTCTTCATGCAAGCACTATTACTGTAAGGAAGGTTCAAAATTTGAGTGGAGGTAATTGCACTTCATCGGAGATGTCTTTCATGAAATGCTCTATACCATGCATTTGCCTTTGTAATTCATGCTTCATTACATCAGAAAGAAAAACAAAATCAAGCAAGGAAAGGAATAAAG